ATCTTATACTGTCCTAAGCATAGGTGATGTACTTTTTCTGGTCTATTAATCACGTTAAGCATCTAAAAATTTAAGTAACCCATTAATGTTATCAAATCCTTATTTTTTAAAAAGTGAATATAACTAATTTATGGTCCTCTCATCTGGCTTTGTTTTTTGGTTAGACTCTGCATATGATGAATTAGATGAATATACAGCTGACTACCGTTTAGATGAACCTTAGGATATTATAGTAATTGTACATGAAGAAACATAGGGACTATTGCATCTAGTTTTGTTTGTTTTATTCAATATGTCTTGGAAAGGGACAGAATTCATGTTAACTGATAAATTAATAATAATTTTATAAGAAATTTAGTATAATTATTTTTATATAGAATAATTCTAATATTTGATGAATTTTATAAAACTTCATAAACTCAAAGTTAATAAAGTATATCACAGAAATCATTAAATCATGTATATGTAAATTTTTAAATTGGATTCGGGTTAGTATGTAAAATTTATAAAATTATTTATTAATCTATATACAATATAATATCTAAGCTAAAAATATTTATATTAAAAATAATATCCATTTATAAATGGTTGTTTTTTATTTCAATTTATTTTATAAAAGAAATGATTATCTATCTACCTATGAAAAATAAAAAACTTAAATCTTTACTAAATCATAGAATTTTTATTAATATTAAACTCATTTAAACTACAGTTTTGTTTATATAAAAAACAGTATAAAAAAATATTAATAATAACTATTTAAGAAGTGTGTATTTTAAAAGGATTTTGAAAATAATTGAATAAAATAAAAGAATATTTAAAAAAATAAAAGAATTCTTATTAATTTATTAATTTATTGAATTATAATGGATCCCTCTAAAACATAAATGTTAAAATTATCATAATCAACAAAAGAGAGAGTAGAGGCAGCAAAATAATATATAGAGAAGAAATATTAGAAGTTGCTTTATGAATAAAAAGAGAAGAGAGATAAGTGGGAATAGTTAATTCAAAAGTTGACTAATTTGAATTATACTTAAGTTGAACAACAAGTAATAAAATAAGACTTGTTTCATAAAGAAGCTGAAATATTAAGATTATAAAGATAAAAGCTTAGCATAAAAGATTTTGAATCAGTTGAGATAATTGGAAGAGGGGCATTTGGAGAAGTTAGATTATGCAGAAATAAGTTGACAAATGAAATTGTTGCAGTAAAGAAAATGAAAAAGTCAGAAATGCTTTATAAAAATTAAGTATTGATTATATAACCTAGGTTTGTCATGTAAGAGCTGAAAGAGATTTATTAGTAGCATCAGATAATACTTGGATAGTCTAATTAAAGTGTTCATTCTAAGATGAGAAGTATAATATTCTATAGATAATAGATATTTATATTTAGTGATGGAATATTTACCAGGAGGAGATTTAATGACTTTGCTTATGAAGAAAGACATCTTTACAGAAAAAGAATCATAATTTTATATGGCAGAATCAATAATGTAATTATTGTATTATAAATAACAAGGGCAGTTGATTCAGTTCATAAATTAAAATACATACATAGAGATTTAAAACCAGATAATATACTACTTTAATCAGATGGACATATAAAATTGAGTGATTTTGGATTATGTAAATATGTAGAATCTCGTGGAACCAGATTAGATGAACGTATTAGTATACACAAACCAGAAGACAAAGGTAGTAACACAACCACTTTTAAAAGAAATAGAATTAAAGCATATAGTACAGTTGGAACTCCTGATTATATTGCTCCTGAAGTTTTTGGGAAATCTGGTTATAATGAAACTGCAGATTGGTGGTCTTTAGGAGCAATACTTTTTGAGATGCTTGTAGGATATCCTCCATTTTTCTCAGATGATCCTTCATCTACATGTAAAAATATTATTAATTGGAAAAAAACACTTGCTATTCCTCCTGAAGCTAAATTATCACCAGCAGCAATAGATCTTATTTTAAGACTTATGTCTGATGCTTAAAATAGATTAGGTGTTAATGGAGTAAATGAAATAAAAGCACATCCATTTTTCTCTGGTATTGATTGGAAAAACTTAAGATCAAAAGCATCTCCATATATACCTGAAATTAAATCTGAATTAGATACTAGAAATTTTGATAAATTTGAAGAACAAGAACCTTGGGTACCATAAGAGTAATTATTAATATAATAAATATAAGTTCTGGTAAATCAATAAGAAAAGATGTTAATTTTATAGGTTATACTTTTAATCGAGAAGTAGAAATTTAAAGATCCTATCTCCTATAAGCATTACTGGATCTTGATGCTTTGTAAGTTTAAAAATCTGTAATATATCTATTTTTATTAAGGTTCCAACTGAAACTACTTTGAGTAAATCTCAAGATAAGAAAGATACTTTTATAATGTAGTCAATGCCTAATAATTTATAATTGGACACAGATCTATAAAGCAAATTACTCAAAACATAAAAATTATTGTTAAATTCTTAATCTAAGTAAATCTAACCTTTATTTAGACCTGTTCTTACTACAAAATAACAAATACCAGTTTCAAAGTTTTAATAATAATTAAGTCTAAGTCCAACTCATCAGAACTTTAATTAATAAAGCTACCTTAAATAATTGATAAGTCCTTAAAATAAAAAAACTGCTATTTCTCCATAATAAAAACCAGTTAGCGAACATTAAAACCCTACCTTGGCATAACTCTATAAATAATTTGAAATATAAAAATAAGTGAGCACAACTCAGAGAGTTTAACCTATATCTTAAATTTAGATTCCAATTAATAATAATAATATTAACAAGAAATGAATCATTAAATAAATTTAATAGAATTAATTGTAGCTTTAAAGCTGATCTAAATAAAATCCTTATTCTTAATTTTTTTAGTAAATTGTTTTAAATAAAGACTCTGATTTAAAATAATTGATAAAGCATCTGATTAATAAATTTGAGCATAATGAATTTTTATTAAATGATTTGTTATTAATTTTATTTTGATAAATTATAAATACATCAATTTAAACCAATTCATATGAAGAAATCATTTTCCTATTTCTCAATTGACTCTTATATTCAATATTAAAAATAATTCTAAAATTAATTTCTACCATAGTCTTTAAAAATATTTTGAATTCTTTATTATATCATATAAATATAAAATCTTAATTAAAACTTTTTTATTATATCTAATGAATAATCAATTAAAAACCAATAATAGAAGACATTAAAATACAAACTTCAGAATAAATACTAAATATTTATTTAATAAAAAAATCATCAACTTTATTTAATAAATCAAGTGATTTAATTAGTATGTCTGATTTGAATCTATTTATTTTTATATCTTCAAATATTCTTATAACATTTTCAGATTAAAAATTCTAAAAATACTCATTTATTAATTTATGATAAAGATACAAGGATTCTCTATCTTACAAATAAATTATTTAATATTTTTTTTTAATTGATAATTTTTAGTATACTTTTTTATATTGTTATTATAATTCATTTTATATAATAATTTCTTCATTTATTTAATCTTTATTATCATTTATTAGCTAAGAATAGGAATATTTATTGCTAGTAGACAATAATTTTTTATTTGAATATAAATATAGATAAATTAAAATAATTATGTAAATTTTAGATAATCTATTGATATATAATAATTAAGATATATATTTAAGCTTATGAATATTAAAATGAAATAATTGTTTATATATACTTTAAATAAAAATAAATAATTAATTAATGGAGCAACTCAAAAAACAAATCCAAGAGCAAGCTGAAGAATAAGATATAGTTGAGGATTTAAATATCGAAGGAGTGAAAATCACAAAATTCACTGAGGAAATGGCTGCTCTCTTTACTTAACATTAATAGCTTCTAGGTTTGGCATTTGAGAAATGCGGATTAACAACACTTGAAGGATTTCCTAAATTAAAGAAATTATAAAATTTGGAGTTTCCAAATAATTCTTTAACAGGGACAGCAATTAAATTTATAGCAGATAATTTCAAAGAATTGAACAACTTGAATTTATCATAAAATAATATTAAGTCAGTTGATGTAATCATAAAGAATAACATGATAGGATTTGAAGCCCTTAGCCACTCTTACCAAATTAGAATCATTAGAATTGATAGATAACCCTTTGACCAAAGAAGCAGGATATCATAAAAAAGTGTTCCAACTTATCCCATCCCTTAAAGTTTTAGACAATAAAAATGAAAAGGGTGAAGAGGTTCTCGATGTATTATTAAATTATTTAATGATTAGGATGAAGGTGATGAAGATATTGATGATGATGAATTTGATGAAGATGATTCATATGATGAAAGTGAAGAGGATGAAGAATCAGAGGAGCCAGTTAAGCCAATCAAAAAAACAAAAAAATGACATTTTTGTTTTGCCCCATTAAAACATATAAAATACCATCAATAATCATTTCAATATAACATCCCATATATACTCATCAAAATTGCTATACTATATATCCAATTCGTCACTATGCTCATTCAAATAAGTCATCTATTTTGGATAATATAAATGTATATAACTTAAACTAATAGGAATGTCTAATTACTATTTCTTCATTCTCAAGATTCACTATCATATTTAATTACTTTGAATATATGTATTCTAAATATTGGCAAATTGATTTAAATTCCCCACTAGAATTTTATTCTTTTTATTTAATCTACTAAATCCTAATAATTCAGAGCTTATTATAAGTCTGATTATGAATAAGAGTTCTATTTTTTATTAAATAAAGAAGTATTTTTATTATATAATAAGTGTGATTATTCCTACTATTCTATTGAGAGAAATATTAATTAATTTTAATAGACAATTGAAATGAATATCTAATTAAAAAGAATAAATTAGAAAGTATTGCATTGTTATTTAGTTTGCTTATTAAAATAACTTAGAATAATTTTATATATCAATATTAAGTAATCATATTTATTATCTATTCTAACTATAATTTTTATTCATTTTCCTATTTTATCTTGTAGAATGAATAGATAATACATAGTTTTGATTAATTATATAGTTTTGATTGCCTACTTTTTATATCCATATAAATTTAATTAATTCTTAATTTTCAATATCAAGAAATAGTTTAAGAATTGCAAAGAATTAATGTGTTCTTGATCCATAAAAATGTATCAAAATTATCATTAAATCAGTTACTAACACTGTAATACTTAAACCTCAAAATAAGATTTCTAAAATAATTATAAAATAAAAACTAATAAATAGATTTTAAATAAGATATATTTGTATAAGGCTATATTAGTGCATTATTTATTATATCTTTCTTGAAATTTATCAGATTTATAATGAATTTATTATGTTGATAAGTCCTAATAACTATTACTTATTAAACTTAATGTCTTATTTTCAATTCTTATTATGAAGTTGATTGTTCTTATTATTTTTTTTTCAGCTATTTAATTTATTATTAGATAGTTTGTTTATTAGTTAATCTATCTATTATTATTATTTTCCCGTTTCAATACCATTTTATTAATCTTCTTGGAAACAATAATTCATTAGTATAGAGATCATCCATAAATTTTAATATAAAAATATAGTTATAAAGAGATTTACAACAAAAGCAAGTTATAATAAATAGATTTGAAAAGTTTTATAAATTCTCATAACATTCATCTTCAAATGTGTGATATTTTTCATCTATCATAATTCCTTAATCACAACATTCTATTTCACATTAAGATTTTTAAATTTATATAAATTAATTATATTTTAGAATTATATTATGTTTTAATATTCATTATTATATGTTTTTTATTTCTTAAAAATCTTTATTTATAAAGTCATAATTAATCTAAACTAAAAATTACATTTTCAATTTCTAATAAAAAGAAGATGTAATTAGTATTATCTGTAGTTCAACAATTATCTACATATCTTATATTGGTGGGGAGATTGTCAAAATTAATTGTATTAATTTTTTGAGAAAATCATAATTTAATGAAATCAATATTAGCTAATAAAATAAGAAATCCATAAATAATTAATAAAAATTACTTAATTGAAGTAATGCTCATAGAAAAATTTAATTTATAAAAATTGTAAGTAATATAATGAAGTAATCTCTGAAATAAATAATAAATATTCTAATAATTTAATAGATAATCCATTATAAATATTATGAAGGAATATTTGATGCGAATTATAATAATATATAAATAAAAAGATCTTAAGGATATAAAAATTAAGAACTTCATGTAAATTATTAAATAAAATATGAGATAAAAAAATTTATAAAAATACACGAATCTTAATTCAGAATTTAAATCTAAAGAAATAAAAAATGAAATACAATAAATTACTAAAGAATAAATGCTCTAGTAATAAATTATAAGGAGGGACAACTATTGAAATAATCAATTAGGAATTATATATTTTTATTTATTAATAAAATAAATATTTAGATTTCAAATAATGAATTCAATAGATAATCATAATGAATAATATATAGATAAGAGATTTATAAGAGAATTTTCTAAAATCAATCTAAAAATTTTTATTAAAATTTAGTATTTCAAGTTTAGAAAAGAAGAGTAGAAAACGAATATATCTGAGCTAATTAAAAAATTATTAACAGTTATATACATTTATTATAATTTAATTATGATAAAATATTGTTTTTTTCAATAAGTTTCTATTTAGATTAGTCTGTGTTTGAAATAAAATAAATAATGAATACTTATGAACTTATATTTAAATATGATCTAAAATTTATTAACAAAGTTTACTGAATATGATTAGCAGTAAAAATAGATGTTTAAAAAGTCAGGAATTAATTAAATTTATAAAAAATAAACCAAAAAGGTAAAGTTATAATTATGAAGGAATATCGTAAAAGTTGGAATTAAGAAGTAATTATTATTAATAATTTGTAGGAAGATTAATAGCTGTAAGAATTATATAAGGATTATGGTGACAAATGGAAAAAGATCGCTGAGTTACTGCACTTACATTAGAAATCATAGGGAAAGATTAGAACTGCAGCAGCTTGTAGAGAGAGGTATCAAAATATTCTAAAACCTTCTTTAAATAAAAATATATGGACTAGAGATGAAGAAGAAAAATTATTTTTATTATAAAAGCAATATGGGAATTGCTGGACTAAAATTACAGTAAAGATGAGAAATCGATCAGAACTAATATGCAAAAATTATTTTTATGCAACTATCAGGAGAGTATTGAGAAGATTGAGCAAGTAAGTTGGCATCTTAAAACGTAATAAAATTATTTTGTAATTTAGCTTCTCAAATGTTAAAATCTATAAAGTCTAGTGTCTTAATGAGTATATATTTAGAAAATAGTTAAGAAACCTAATTGGTTTTTAGTTAAGAAGTACGTCTCAAATTAAAGTAATTGATAACAAAATATTAATTTATTCAAAAAGAAGAAAATATCACATTAGATAATGAGGAAATTAAAAATATTCGATAATTGATTAGAGAATTAGTTGATGCTAAGTATAGATTAATATATAAATTAGTAATTAGTATTTAAAGTTTAAAGGACAGTTTCAAATATCAAATAAAAATAAACTGAATATTTTGAATAATAATAATAAGTTGGAAAAATTAGAATTAAAAATTATAAAAAGAATTAGATTATAGAAAAATGTATTTGTAATAAAATAACGAAATTCTTAAAATCAAATACAAATAAATGAATAATAACTTAAAAATAGCTCAAATAATGAAAATAAGAGTTTTTCATAATTAATAGCAATTTAGAATTCTAAAATTCCTGAAAGTTAATTTTCAACATAGGAATACTTTAATCCATAATAAACTTAAGCTTATTTCTAAAACTATATGGCTTTTTCTGAATATATTCCATTATATTAGTAATAATATGGAAATTTCTTTGATCCCACATTATATTTTTATAATCAATACAGTCCTTATCTATTTTAAATGTAATAGAGAATTTGATTGTTTGAACAAATAATCTGAATATATATTTCAAAACTTAAAATTTATTAATATATATAAATAACAATGAATAATCATGATTCTACTTGAATTTAAACTTATTCTTATTTTTGATCTTTCTATAATAGATCTTGTTTAGCAAAGATATTAAATATCTATTCAATTGAAGCTTATTTAATTGAATATTAGGAAATTGTCAATTGTTATTTATTCTTTTCAAAAGCCGAAAATAATTTACCAGCAGAAATATTAGAAAGTAATCTAATTCTATAAAATGTTTAAAAATGTTCAATAATTTCATATTTTCCAAGTTATTACTAAATAAAATCTAATAATTTTTTTCCATTCTATTCAACTAGTATATATTCTGCTAAAGTTTCAACACTAATACCATGTCTATTTAAATCATTATACAAATGTGATCCTGATTCTTTAGGTTAGATTTAATTCATTAATTATGGTTAATGAATCTTTTATAAAGCACTAAGAGTAGCTGATTGATTTAATCTTATACCTTTACTTAATCCCATTTAATCAATAATTTAATCTAAAAAATTAATTTTTGGTTTCTATAATTTAATTTCAACCTCATATCCTTAACCATATTTATTTTTGACATGTTAGACAGATCCAAAACATCTTAAATTACCATCTACTTAAATTGCAACTTTTGTTGATAATGCTTCTGCTTCTTCCATTGAATGTGTAGTCAATATAATTGAACTTTATTTTCTTTAAGTAGATATTCTTGATATAACATTCCACATGAATCTTCTAGCTTCTGGATCCATACCAGTAGATGGTTCATCAAGAAATACAATAAGTGGATTACCAATCATAGCAATAGCAACTGATAATTTTCTTTTATTACCACCTGATAATTAACCAGCTTCAACAGATTCAAATCTCTTTAGATCCATTTCAATCATTTTTTTTTCAACTAATTCATTAAGATGTGTATTAGTAATCCCTTTAATTTTAGCAAACAATTCTAAATGTTCTTAAACTGTAAGATTATCCAATAAAGCATCAAATTATGGACAATATCCAATATTTTTTCTTGCATCTTAAATTTAATCAATAACACTATGTCCAGATACATAAGCTACTCCAGAAGTTGGTTTTAATTCTCCTGATAATATTTTAAATGTAGTTGTTTTACCAGCTCCATTAACACCCAATAAACTAAATACTTCTCCATTACCAACTGAAAATGAAATATTATCAACTGCAACTTTATGTTATTTCTTTTCTAACATAAAAACCTTTCTTAAATTTCTAACTAAAATTGCTTAATCTTAAGGTCTATAATTTTAACATAATTATTATTCTTTTTCAACATCATCATCTAATATTTTTGGATTATAAGGAATTGATGATTCATTTGATCCCAATTTTTATAATGAACCATTATCTTCAAAGAATTCCAATATAAATACAATAATCATATATCCAACTCCACTTATTGCAAGTACTAATAAATCTTCACCTGCAACTCTCATTGCAAAAGTATTAGGTGGAGTAATTGAATTTTCAAAAATCAATTCAAAAAATTATTTTAAACTTGTTCTTAATAATCCTAAAGCAAATGAGAATGATGGAATAGGTCTGAAGATCCAAACTAAATATGAAGCAGCATCTCTAGTAGATTCAATTAAGAAAAATACATAAATAACAATACTAAGTATAGATCCAAAAACAAGATGAATAAAGAAAGATGATAATAATGAGTTTCCTGGAACTTTGAAAAAAAAACTTAAAGCATAACTAAAGGGTATAATGGCCCATCCATAAAGAATAAAGAATAGAAATACTGCTCCATAATTGCCATCCAATATTAATGCATCTATATCAAATGCTAATACCATTAATGCACTTACAATTGCTGGTATTAAATGTTTAACTATATCAATTATCCAATTACTTGTCCAATAAGCTAAGACTGATACACCAGAAACTAATTATTAATGTTTAATATTTATTTCTCTTTCTTTTACAATAAATGAAATAATTGATGCTGGAATAAATGCAAATCCAATAGAAAATATAAAGGCTGATAAATATCCTGCAACTGATTAATCAATACTTTTTTCATTATGAGTTTATGGAAATGGATAAAAAGATAATTCAATACTAGCTGAAGCACTATTTGTAACTTTTCTTAAGATTGCTTAATTCATTTGATTTAATAGTAATGGAGAACTTTGAACAAAGACTGAATTTTGTAAAAACCAATAGGAATATGTAGAACCAATAATTTAATTAAAAAAATACCATCCTGGACTTTCTCTTAATTCAAATTAATCAAAATATTCTTTATCAGCTTATTCTAAATTTGAAGATAATTTAGAAATAGTCCAATCATCAGTTGAAAAATATTACATTAAATTTTAACCAGTTTAATCTCCACCCCAAAATAATTATAATTTCTAATTATCATAAAGACCTTATGGTGTAATAATTGCCAATTCATCATCTTTCATCCATTTGACTGTCATTAAAGCTAATCCAGAAATTACTATTAATATTGGTACAAATATTTCACAAATCAATCCTCTAATATCCCTTCTAAATATTCTAAATCTTTTCTACATTAATGCAAATAAATGTTAAAAAAAAATTGAACAAAATCCTTCTATTTTTTCAATTTTTAAATCTAAATTTTAATTAATCTAATTATTTTTTTCTTGATTTTGTACATCATCAACTTATTCATGTCCAGCACCTATTTTAGCCACTTTTAAGAAAACCTCTTCTAAAGTAGTAATACTGATTCCATATGTAGAAATATGTAAATTTTTCATGTTTTTATCTAAATACTCAAATAAATTTGGGAATTTATCAATCTATTCAATTGGTAATTACATAACTACTTCTGCAGATACATTAGATAAAACAGTAGCTGTATTAATATAATTAATTATGTTATCTATTATTGTTTAAGATTCAACTTATGTATTATCTTTAACTAAAGTTAAATTATATCCAACTCCAAATCTATTCTTTAAAAACACACTACTTCCAGAACATAATAATTTACCTTCACCCATTATACCAATCCTATCTCCTAAAAAATCTGCTTCATCCATAAAATGAGTTGTTAAAACAATAATTCTATTATCTTTGTAATTCTTTAACATTTCCCAAATATATCTTCTTGCACTTGTATCCATTCCAGAAGTTGGCTCATCTAAATATACTAATTTTGAATTTCCAATAAATGCTATAGCAACTGATAATCTTCTTTTTTAACCACCTGATAGATTCTTACTTAGATAATCTGTTTTATCAGTCAAATCAACATCAGCTATTATTTTAGTTATCTAATCTTAAATTTCACTAGATTTCATTCCTTTAAATTAAGCAAACAATTCCAAATGTTCTTTTACAGTCAAATTATCAAATAATATATCATGTTATGGACATACACCCATAATTTTTCTTAATTCTTATAATTCAGTTTTTACATCAAAACCATAACCAATTACATCTCCTTTTGTTATTTCCAATAAACCTGTAAGCATAGAAATTGTTGATGTCTTACCAGCACCATTATGTCCTAATAATGCAAATATTTATCCTTAATACATTGATAAATTTAGGTTACTTACAGCCTATTTACCATTTGGATATGTTCTATATAATCCTCTAATAATAAGTGCCTCATTCTTTAATTCTTATTCCTTTAAAGCTTATTCAACTTCTTCAAATTTATCATCATGTGTATTCATTCTTTCCAATGTCATTGATGAATGACTTACTCTATCCATTCTATCCTTTTTCCAAATCCAATTAATAAAGAATAATGGATGTTTCTTAACACCCCATTCATTTGGAAATACTTAATCCAAATATATGGCCAAAATCAAATATACAAAAAAATTGATAATATGCCAAGTCCAAGCTATAGAAATACTATAATTATTAATAGATGTTGTCAAATTGTACCCAAAAAATCCTATACCTTATGATTCCATAAGAGTTACCACACCAAATGAAAATGCTAATGATGCTTGACTTGAAAATGAGACTCCCCAATATTAACTTCTAGTTGGAATAGCATTACCAGGTACCATATTTAACATTTAAAACATTAGTAAATACCAAACAATTGAAACTATTAATCCTGTTAATGCTTATGTGAAAAACACAGACAAAAATAGTGATTAAACTATTAGAACTAGACAGCATAAGTAATAATTTAAGAATATAAATCCCCAACCAGATTCTACAAATATCATGCTTTCTAAAATTATATTAAAATATAAATATACTTAGAATAGCTGTAGCCAAGATTGATATGACTCCATAGATTAATAGGTATTAAATTATCCATGATAAGTAAAATTAGGTATTACTTAATCCCATTATCTTCATTCCTTCTCTTAACTTCTTCTCTTTTTCATAAATTATTCCATGAGTCATCCTTAAAAATACAATCATTAATGGCAATGTTAGATATATTCCATAAGCTCCATTTACGAAATCTGGAAATTTATCTTCAATATGATCTCTTGATCTAACATGACTGAGAGTTGGCTCTATTGTTACAGATGAATCATATTATTGAATAATTAAATTATCAATCCAATTTTGAATAGTAAGAAATCCATTCTCATAAAATAAATATGTATTTTCTTAATCCTCACTAATAATATATTTAATAATTATTACTATTTAAATGAATTGATCTTATCCTTTCTATTTAATGGATACTCTATGTAATCTGTCGAATCTGAAGTGTTGAATCTTAAAGTATAGCTAAAATCCTTTTGAACAAAATCATCCCTTTCAAATATTATTGCTAGACAAAGACCTTTAGTATCTTCTAGTTTATTATATCCTTCTTATCTCACATAATCATCAATTTCATCATTATTTTTGAACCATTTTACATCATATCCATAATAATCAATAAAGTAATTTGATAATTTCTAGGCCACATCATTCTCTTTTGGTCCAATTCCAATTAATCCATTTCTGTATGAAGCACCTGAATTATCTCTATTGTCAATACAATTTCTAACATATAATAATATACATACTTTAACTAAGGTAGTATTTTCAGCAATTTTTCAGTGTCTTAATCTGGATTTTTTGGAAAATTATTTAAGTTTGGAGCAAGAATTCGAGGCAAATCTGAATCTTTGTTTACTTTTAAATAAGAAGATTCAGGTATTTCATCTATTTCAACTTGAGCTCTATTTTTAGCATTAAAAGTACCTGATTGTTAACAATAATCCAATGAAAAACAAAGGAAGTATGATTTCGCATACCGAACAACAACAATTCCTCTTCCATAATATATAGTTCTTTCTTAGTAATGCTGTTAAGTGAGACATGATTTAGTAATTTATTTAATACAAATCTCTATATAATCAAACTCTTCTATGGGATCATTCTATAAAAAATTCCCCTTTTTATGGAATAATTTAATTATTCATCAATATTAGTTTGTTCATAAAAACAATAATGTGTAATAATATAAATTAATTTATTAGTTAATAAATAAATTTATTTTTAATTTAAAATTGTAACATCTTCATTCTAAATACCTTGAATTTCCATATCTCAATCCAAATCTCCTTCTATTATATTTCTTTAGTACATCATATGACTTATAAATTGTTATTATTTGAGTTTCTAAAATCTTTTAAATTACTAAATTTTTCCATCTATATATCAACACCTTTTCTATTATTTAATATCATCAAGAATATCAATAATACAAAAATTGAATGTTTAAATTTAAGAATATTATTTATTATTATATCACAAATAATAAAAATAATTGGGGAATTATTAAAAATTGAATTTATATTAAATAGATTGGGGGTTTATATACTTGGTAACTCTTAACTAAATTTGAATTTTTTATTTATTTTTTTTTGAGATGACCAGCAGAGACGAATTGCTATATATGGCTAGACTCACAGAGTAAACAGAGAGATTCGAGGATATGGTCAACTACATCAAACAATTAGTTAGTGTAGGACAAGAATTGTCAGTAGAAGAGAGAAACTTGCTTTCTGTTGCTTACAAAAACAGCATTGGAGGAAGAAGAACAGCATGGAGAGTCCTTTCTAGCATTGAGAATAAGGAAGAAGGAAAGGTATAGAAATCTCAATTTTTATTAATTCAAAAACTTGTCCCTTATATTAAATCATCTTTATATCATTATTATTTTAGGCTCAAACAAATCCAGCAAGTCAAAGAAATCTCACCTTAATTAGAGCTTACAAGAAAAAAATTGAATAAGAATTGAACGGATTTTGTAATGATGTCCTCAACCTCATTGACACTTCACTTATCAGGACAGCTACTAATTCAGAAGCTAAAGTCTTCTATTTCAAGATGAAGGGAGACTATCATAGATACATTTCAGAATATTCAAGTGGAGACTAACATAAACATGCTGCTGATGGAGCATTAGAAGCTTACTAACAAGCTTCAAATGTTGCTAATTCAGAGCTCAAAACCACAAATCCCATTAGATTAGGTCTTGCTCTCAACTTCTCAGTTTTCTACTATGAAGTCTTGAACGACCCAACAAAGGCATGCAGCTTAGCTAAACAAGTATATATTTTTTCAAAATATCTTCAAGGCTTTCGATGATGCTATTGCTGATATCGAATAAATCGAAGAATCATAATATAAGGATGCCACCACAATTATGCAATTAATTAGAGACAACCTCACTCTTTGGACTTCTGAATTAGAAGATGAAGAAGGACCCAAATGATGGAGGTATATAATATATATATATATAAAATATAAAAAAATATAAACATACATCATTAAGTCTTTAATTTTCAATCCTAAAGTTAGAAAATTCAATCAAGCATAACTAAAATTTTGTTTAGTAAATGCAAATTTAACTATATATTTTTTATCAAATTTGATAAAATATATCTATTTATTAATTTGCCAATTCCTCCTCATATAAAATAGAGAGAATAATTCATTTAAAAAATCATTTAATCATGGATTAGACATAAAAAATCTTATAATTTCAAGTTTTATTCACAATTTAGAGTTATATTAAAATTTTAATATATTTGTTTATTAATCTTTATATTTAAAATATAAGAGATCTTACTATAAAAATTATGTCTTTCCAAATTTTAGATCCTTACTTTTTGTTAGATTATTTTATTTTTGATGCATTATTTGTTCAAATAAGTAATTAATTAAAATAATATGTACTAAAATTTATAAATAATTAAGATTAAAGATATTATAATTATTTTTAATATATCTGTAGATCTGTTATATGATTAAAATAAAAAATGGATATAGGTTAAAGGAAAAAGTAAATTTAATAAACTTAACTTAATTTATAATAGAATGAAAATAATAATAATTACAATATAATAGCTGATACTACTTTATGTATGAAAATACTCTATTCTAAAATAATAATACAATTATTCTTATACAATTTTAATATTTATCTTGTATGTATTCATTATTTAAATTTGGATTCATAAAATTTGAATACAAGTAAAAGGAATAGTCATAGCAATTGTTTATAAAAAAAAGATTAGTAGTTGCTTAAGATTCTGATAGATAATTATACTTTAAAGTTTTCATTTTTTATTTAATATAATATGAGTAGAATTTTAGTTAACAAAATGATATTTAAATAATAAATAAATAATGAAAGATATACTTTTTACAATGTTTAAATTTTGATTATGCTGGTTAAATGATGTTAGATTAAAAATTATCATTCTTTATCATCTACTTTTGTTTTTGACTTATTTTTTCATTTTCTTAAGATAATTTGCTGGCTAATATTTTAAGTAATAAAAATTAAGATCACTTATAAGAGATTATTTTAAATAATAAGTTTAAAAACATATTAATACAATGGCTAATAATATTATAGTATTTATAAATGAAAATTTACTAAATGTGTATGTTTATAAATTAAAAAAAAATTAGGATAATAAATTAAGTAATGTTATGGAATTAAATTAAAGAAGGATTAATAAATAAAAATATATTCATATGTATATAATTTAAATATAATTATATCTAATGAATAGATATATATAATAAAATAAAATTCATGAATGTATGTAAAAACATATTGGTATAGACAAATCTCCAACATTTTCAATGGTTACTTAATTTTTAATTATATTTAAGGTGTTTGGTTTAAGTATTCTTTAAGAATGTGTAGATTCACATACTATATTATGATATTAATGTCTAATTGCAAATTTTAATTCAGAATTTTAGTTTAAAATTAATTAAACAGATTAATTTTATTGTAATCTAATTATGAAAGCAAATCCTGATTCTAATATTCTATATTTGGTAATAAAATTTACTATACTGAGATTAGTTAGATATTTATTTAGTTCTTATGAAATCTCTTTTTTTTAATAATTGACTAAATTGCTTACAGACTCATTCATTTGAATTTCTGAGATAGAAGATTCAAATAAATGTAGAGGATTAATAAGCTTTTCTATATCTAAATTAGATATTTGTTAAAATGAATTGATTTGATTGATGATCTCAATTTGAGATTCGTCCTTTTAATATTTGGCAGGAGTCTAGAGACAAGAGGCTGTCAAGATTTGTTCATTAAATACATCTTTTTATTGATGTTCAAGTATTATTTGATAGAGATTCTTTGATCTTGGTCTCAACCAAGTTGTAGTATATTTATATTCTGTTGACTTCATAAATTATAAAAATTAATCAATCATTTAGTAATGCCATTCTCACATTATTTCTACAAGATGGACATAAAGGTTCTTCATTAAGACATTCTTCAATACAAGTATCATGAAAATAATGATTACATTTAGGCAATTAGATCGCAATTTCCATCTATTCTAATTAACATAAACAAATAGTACAATCTTCTTATTATATTACTTAATATTCAATCCATAGTTTACTAGTCAATTTTTATAACTCTTCTGGAGATAAGCCAAGGTTGATAGATGGGAAATTTCCTCTGATAAGTCCAAATATCACGATAAGTACAAATATGTAAATAGTACAATTTATATATAATTTAATATATTATTTATACTATTATTTATATTGATCCATTAGAAGTTTATCCTTAGAATAAATTTAAAACTTTCACAGTTGACAAAAAAATTGTCATTTCATATTCAAATATACTTTTCTTTTTATATACAATCTATATATAATAAATAGAAGACCTATAAAATACAAAACAATTCTCCACTCTTACAATCAACAATACATTAATACTCAGTAATATTCTTGCCTAATTAGAATTCAGATTTGGCCACTAATAAATAATGAATATAGTAAACAGAATTGGCCATTAATGAATAATGAATAAAGTAAAGAGAATAGAAAGTATATATTTGAAGATTCCTTTTATTAAAAGTTTTATGATATTTACAATCATAAGTTTCGATTTTATAAATTTAATTTATTAATTATGAAATTCATTAATAAATTATTAAAATAATAGATTTGTAATAATCTTAATATTTCCATAAAAATTATTTGTTATCATTACTCTTATATATATTAAGTAAAATAGTGTATATAAGAACAACTATTTTTTATTGAATTATATTTTACATATCAAAATTTTAGAGATAATTAAATTTATATAAATATTTATAAAAGCTGTTATTAAATTTGAATGTCAATTATAGATCAAATTGATTTGAGTTTAGAAAAAGCAAGTAGCCTATAATAAAAACGTTTTGAAGCAGAAGAATCAAAATAAAAATCTCTTAATTATGAGCTCAATTAACTAAGAAATTAATTAAATGAAAGTTAAGAGGATTAAGATGAAGAGATGACTCCTGAGAGAAGTCATAGTTAAAATTATAGTCAATCATAATATTCACCATTAAGAAATGATATTAAACAATTAGAATTATAAAAGTAATTACTATAATCATCAGAGCGTAAATTGTAATAAGAAATTGATGAATCAGACAATGATGATAATTAATTATAGATATATCCTAAATATGATAAATAATTTAAATAATAAACTTAATAATAATAATAATAATAGGTTTAATAAAAATAATAGTAGGATTAAAGTAAACAAAATAACAAAACTTAAAAAGAGAGTATTTAAAAAATGAGATCAAAGAAACATCATCAACTAGAAAATACTTAAATAAAGAAAGATTTTTAATAAAAAACATAAAAAAGTGTTCCAAAATCAACTTAAATAATAACAACTACAACAGAAAGAAGAAATGATAAAGAAAATGGTTTTGTAATTTAAGAATAAAAACCTGAATATTAAAAATTGAAATAACATATTAATTCTGTAAAAGCATAAGTTTCAAATTAATTAGTAAAAAATGAGAAAACTAAACTAGAAACATAAAATGATGAATCAAATTAATACAAAATAAGAGGATTTAGAGATTAAGCTGAAATTAAATATTTTGGGTAATAACTTAATCCAATTTTTTAGACGACCACTACCATGCAATGAATGTGTATTTTTATTAAATAAAGGAATGAGTTCAGATTATTGTTCTTAACATGGCAAAATGAACAAAGAAAGACCACCAAATAAAACATTGCCTAAAAGATTTGCAAAGTTTTTTTGATGTTTATATTTGGTTTTTATTCAATTTACTATTTATAAAGAAAAATTATATAATTTAAATTAATTACTAAAATTTAGTTTATTATTTCAAATGAATAATTCAAATTGATGAATTCTTAGGATAAATGTCTGACTATTTATGAAACCATTTATAATCAATTTGATCTATTCAAAATTAAATAAATATTCTTGTCAAACATAATACTATTTAATTTAAAATATATAATTATTTTTAAAAGCTTTTAGTTATTAATAGATATCTGTTATAATTAATTATTTAAGGAAATTAACTAAGAGAATAAACTCTTTATTATGTTAATTAAATATAATTAATATGAATTTGAATTATAAACTCTTCATATTTTTTTATTATTCAAATTTATTTTGCTCATAATATCTCTTAACTTAATCAAAGTCTATTATATTTAAACATTTTTTAGGGATTTCAATGATATTATTTAATTTTTTTTTAATTTATATTATTAATATCAGGGTCTTTCTCAAAATAATCTTAATAACAATGCTTATATTAACACACTATTGATCTAAATATATATAGTATTTCTTTTTACTTTTCAAATTAATAATCCTTAGAACTTATTACAATAGATTCATTAATTTAATGATTAATCGATAAACCTTATTTTAAGAATGCTATCTTTTATTTCCTAAATGTATTTATTATTTTGGAATATCATTTAGAAGAGGATATATGTTATGTTGTTGACAAAATAAAGGTAAGAAAAATATTTGAAGGATAAGTTGAGTTTGATCAACAAGAGATGGAAATCTTAAAATAATTCGAAGCATACTTAATATCAAAACGCTTTATGCCTAAGTTCTCACTCAATTAATTTTAGGTGGACTGAACCCTAATTACTGAGGATGTTATATGCTACTAAATTTAAGTTTGAAAAGACTTATGCAGCAATCTAAGCCTATATTTAATGGAGGAATCAAGCCTTTCCACTTAAAGAGAATTAGGAAACAACCAAATTCTTAGTAAAGAATAACGAGATATTTTTAGTCAAGTGGTTCAATTTATCTTCATGGAAGAGATAATAGATTTAGACCAATAATTATGGTTAATGCTATTAAATTGGCAGCATAAAAAAATATAGATATCACATTAGATTCAATGACAATATTTTTAGAATATGTATTAGCAAATTATATGTTACCTGGATAAATAGAGAATTGGTAATATATAAATTCACATAATTTATAGGGTTGTTGTTATGGATTTAGGTGGTTTGGGAATTACAAGTTTGCCAAGACAATAATTGTAAAGAGTTTTAGATTATTTACAAAATAATTATCGATCTAGAATGCATAAATGTTATGTAATTAATTGTCCTAGTACAATCACATTTTCTTGGAATATAGTTAAAGGATTTTTAGAGGAAATAACTGTTAGAAAAATATCGTTTGAAAAATCTTCTATTCCAACTGGATTATTTGAACATTGCCATAAATCATAAGTTGAACAAAAATATGGTGGAGTTTCTAATAATATTGAAAGCAATTTTTGGTAAATAAATCAGTATATTTTTTTAAAGGCCTCCTAATGAGATTAGTTAATAATATTTTTTACCAACAGATAATATCACAGATATACTTATTTCTAAAGAATAATATCATCAATTATATGAATTTGGAAAACTTTAAAAAAATCGTCTTTGTAAGGAATTACTTGAAGGCAAACAATAATCCATATAACATATTAATACTGATTAACATTCAGATAAAAAAATGAAAGATGATGTACCTGATCCAGAAGAAGAACAATAAGTTATTAATGATCTCATTCAAAATAATTAAGGATTTTACTAAACAAGAATTGATGAGACATTTGATATCCCACTATGTGAAACCACAATTCAATTACCATTAAACTTTATTCCTCATAAAAAAATGTTTAAATATTGAATATTTATATTTCTATATTTAACATAGTAATTAATATTAAGTCAATTTAAATGACTTATATATTAAATATTATATATTTCTAACTTAAAAAATGGGGAATGATTGCTCAAGTGCTTGTAACGTATGCAAAAATTCGGAAACTGTTATAGATGCTACTTCGTTTCCAAACGATTTAAAATAATATGAAAACTCTAAGAATTTAGATTATACCAATGCATCCAATTAATAATAATAATAACAATCACTATAATAACAGAACTTTAGTTAATTTTAACATCAACCTCTCGTGACTGAAGAAGTACATTCTCCTCATCCAGAATAGTTTAGATCTAATACATAATTACAATAATACTTCTCATAAGCTGACAAATAAGAAACAACTAATTATCATAATGATTAAAATACATATCCTGAAAGAAGACCACCATTTACTTTTAGAAGTGGAGCTATATATGATGGAGAATGGAGAGGTTAAGTAAGAGAAGGTTTTGGACTTTAAATATGTAATTATATGATTCTAAAATTAGGGCCTGATGGAGCTAGATATGAAGGATAATGGAAGGATAATAAAGCTTGTGGTTAAGGAAAATTTTGGCATGTTGATGGAGACATTTATGAAGGTGAATGGAAAGAAGATAAGGCAAATGGTTTTGGAGTTTATATACATGTGAATGGAGCTAAATATGAAGGATAATGGAAAGATGATTTATAAGATGGAAATGGAGTTGAAACTTGGGCAGATGGATCTAAATATGAAGGTAGTTATAAAGAAGGAAAAAAACATGGATTTGGTAAATACATTTGGAATGATGGATCATCATATGAAGGTAATTGGATGGATAATAAAATTTGTGGAAGAGGTATCTATTGTTGGACTGATGGCAGAGTATAATATTTATTATATTATAAGAAATATGATGGTGAATGGTTAAATAATAATATGCATGGTAGAGGAGTCTATACTTGGAGAGATGGTAGAAGATATGAAGGCGAATATTAATATGATAAAAAACATGGTTAAGGAATCTACATTTGGGCAGATGGAAGAAGTATTCAAATATAATATTATATAAGAATATGATGGATAATGGGCATATGGAAAATAAAGTGGTTAAGGAAAGTATCATCTTCCTGATGGAACTATTCGTCTGGGTCTATGGGAAGATGGTAAAAGAATTAAATGGCTAGAAGAAGATTTATCAGTGAATAAAAGTAATCATTAACGTTACTGATTTAACCAATTTATTTTTATTCCATATATATTTCTTAGAACATTTTTGTTCATTAATTTTATATCTTTCAATATATAATTAAATAAATTAGTATCTTGTTGTTCAAATTAAGTAATTAGAATAAACCATTATATTTGAACCAGTTACTATGGATATCTAATAATTTAAATTTACATTTTGCTATTGTTATAAAAGAGCACATGATTAAATGTTAGAAACTATCATTGATTTTTTAATTTATCATAATACTTATAGAATCTATCAATTAAATTGTTCTTTATCAAAATTCCTTAAAATGAGATAAATGACTACATATTCTAAAATTTTTGCATCTCCTTTAAACCTAAAATAGGTATTACAATTTTATTCTAATAATTCTTTAATGTCTTATATTTTTGATAAGAAATATTATTTAAATATCTGTTTATATACTTTAAATTACTGATAAGTTATTAAATAAAAATTGCATTTTCTTTATTCACTTTAATAATTAAAATTTTTACTTAATAATTATTTAGTTTTATTGAAATAAGAAATACTTTATTAGAGGTTTAACCTAAAATCTTCGGAAATGATAATTAAAATAAATTTTATTCAATTAAGAGTTGTTTTTATAATGAATCGATTTTTTTAATTCAAGTTTAAGATAGAAATTATAAATTCATTAATAAATTTGGTTCTCTTCATATTGATTTTAGATATAATTCTAATAAATACCCAATTTATCATTCAATTTTTTTATGGATTAAGTAATTAAAATTAGAATGAGGGATATTTCTGAAGTAGAAATTAATTTAATAGTAAAAGAAATTGATAGTTAGAAAAAAGATACATTTGAATCTCAATAATAAATTATTTTTGATACATTTTTGAAATTTTACAATATATAAATTTAATTTTAATATTTGAAAGAAAATACATATTATATTTATTATATTTAGTATTTCATTTTCTCACAACAAGTTTATTATCAATGATTCTTCTATTATAATTTCGAATTATTCCTAAAAGTATTTCTAAGTTGAATCCTTTTTTCTTCCATTTATTGGCTTCTTTCAGTTAATTATTTTAATTTCATTTCTGATTTTTGTAATTCTTCTTATAAGCATGAATACATGTCTTTTTAACTTTATTCTATCTTCATTTATTATGATTATTATTATTATTATTATTATCCTTTATCTTAATAATTTTATGTTTGCATTTAATAATTGTTAATTTGTGATTTAATTTATTCATTTAATGGAGTCTTAACAATTAGTTAAGAATTTTAATTTTAAGGAATAATTGTTTGTGATGTAAGTATTTTAGAATTTTACTTTTTTGGAGGTGTTAATGAAGTTGGTATTTGATGTAAAAATGATGTTTGAGATTTCGATTATAAAGGAATTTCAACTGTCTATCTAATTATTGGACTTTTGGGTTATGAAACTCTAAATTGAATTTAATTTGTTCTTATTGGGGAAATATTTTAATAGTTAACATTTCTTGAATCAAATATTTATTTTTTTCTTACAGTTTATATTAAGGATGGGTATTATATATTCTCCTTATAATACTAACAAAACTATGGCATTTTTTAAGTAATTTGAGGGATTTTAGGTTTTAAATAGTCCTCATCATTCTGATATATAGGAGATAAAGAGCGTTACATCATTTAACAAATAAATTAAAAAAAATATTTATTTATTAACAGACTCAATTTATTTCTTAATTTGATAAAATTATTATCATTTATTTAATTATAANATTGCATTTTCTTTATTCACTTTAATAATTAAAATTTTTACTTAATAATTATTTAGTTTTATTGAAATAAGAAATACTTTATTAGAGGTTTAACCTAAAATCTTCGGAAATGATAATTAAAATAAATTTTATTCAATTAAGAGTTGTTTTTATAATGAATCGATTTTTTTAATTCAAGTTTAAGATAGAAATTATAAATTCATTAATAAATTTGGTTCTCTTCATATTGATTTTAGATATAATTCTAATAAATACCCAATTTATCATTCAATTTTTTTATGGATTAAGTAATTAAAATTAGAATGAGGGATATTTCTGAAGTAGAAATTAATTTAATAGTAAAAGAAATTGATAGTTAGAAAAAAGATACATTTGAATCTCAATAATAAATTATTTTTGATACATTTTTGAAATTTTACAATATATAAATTTAATTTTAATATTTGAAAGAAAATACATATTATATTTATTATATTTAGTATTTCATTTTCTCACAACAAGTTTATTATCAATGATTCTTCTATTATAATTTCGAATTATTCCTAAAAGTATTTCTAAGTTGAATCCTTTTTTCTTCCATTTATTGGCTTCTTTCAGTTAATTATTTTAATTTCATTTCTGATTTTTGTAATTCTTCTTATAAGCATGAATACATGTCTTTTTAACTTTATTCTATCTTCATTTATTATGATTATTATTATTATTATTATTATCCTTTATCTTAATAATTTTATGTTTGCATTTAATAATTGTTAATTTGTGATTTAATTTATTCATTTAATGGAGTCTTAACAATTAGTTAAGAATTTTAATTTTAAGGAATAATTGTTTGTGATGTAAGTATTTTAGAATTTTACTTTTTTGGAGGTGTTAATGAAGTTGGTATTTGATGTAAAAATGATGTTTGAGATTTCGATTATAAAGGAATTTCAACTGTCTATCTAATTATTGGACTTTTGGGTTATGAAACTCTAAATTGAATTTAATTTGTTCTTATTGGGGAAATATTTTAATAGTTAACATTTCTTGAATCAAATATTTATTTTTTTCTTACAGTTTATATTAAGGATGGGTATTATATATTCTCCTTATAATACTAACAAAACTATGGCATTTTTTAAGTAATTTGAGGGATTTTAGGTTTTAAATAGTCCTCATCATTCTGATATATAGGAGATAAAGAGCGTTACATCATTTAACAAATAAATTAAAAAAAATATTTATTTATTAACAGACTCAATTTATTTCTTAATTTGATAAAATTATTATCATTTATTTAATTATAAACAAAAAATATTCACAAAGAAAGTTATCTTTATTTATTTATTTATATATAATTAATTAATTAAAGATTCATAATGTTTATTCCTCTTTAATATTAGTAGTATATATAATAAATCTAAATAAAGATATTTTTTACATAATTTCATTTTTTTAAATATTAAGCAGATCAATTTAGTATTAGTTGTTTTTGAAAATCGTTAATATTTTTATAATGAAATAACAATATTCAAAATAAGAAAACTCAAAAGATTTTGAAGAATTTCATAATATTGAAGAGTTGAAAGAATTATTTCTTTTAAATTCAATAAATGATGGAACAAGTTTTTAGAAAGTCATAAAATTGGGAGGTGATTAAGGATTGGCAAAATAATTGAAATCGCATCTATTAGTAGAAATGAAAATTAATTTACATAGAAAGGAATTGATTCAGAAGCTTAAGTGCAAGAAAATCGGGAAAAATATGGAAATAATGATCCTATAGAAAAGGAGCCTGCATAATTATGCGAATTAATTTTAGAGTGCTTTGGAGATACTATGTTATAAATACTATTGGTAGCTGCCTTAGTTAGTACAGTAATTGGAATTATAAATGAAGGAGTTAAAACAGGATGGACAGAGGGGTAAAATTATGAATATAAACATAGAGCAACAATATTTTTAGCTGTTTTTTTAATTGTTTCAATAACAGCTGGTAATAATTATCTAAAAGAGAGATAATTTTAATAATTAAGACGTAAATTGGATGATGGAATGGTATAAGTAGTTAGAGGGGGAATAGTTGAAATATCAATAAAAGAAATTGTTGTAGGAGATATATTACAATTTGGTATTGGAGATATTTTTTAAGTTGATGGTACTTAATTATATTTATATTTAGGTTTGATGATATAGGGTTCTTAAATAAAGGTAGATGAATCTCCTATGACTGGAGAATCTGATGAAATAAAAAAATTACCTTTCAATGAAATGAGTCAATAATAATAGAGTAGCAAAGATCATCATCATTTTAGTCCATTTTTAATTAGTGGTACTAGATGTTTAGATGGAAATGGATATATGTTAGTATTATAAGTAGGATAAAATACAGTATAAGGATAATTAAAATTATTATTAAATTAAGATAATCCCCCTACACCTTTATAATAAAAGTTGGAAGGAGTGGCTGAAAATATAGGAAAATTAGGTACTTTAGTGGCAATTTTAACATTTATTGCTTTAATGGGACATTTAATTTATGATGTATTTGTAGATCATAAACATGAATTCTTTACATTGTTATCTTTATAATTAATAATTGAAGCTTTTATGATTGGAGTAACAATAATAGTTGTGGCTGTTCCAGAAGGTTTACCATTAGCAGTGACAATAGCATTAGCATATTCAGTTGGGAAAATGAAAGATGAATAAAATTTAGTAAAGAATTTAGCATCATGTGAAATTATGGGTGGTGCAAATAATATATGTAGTGATAAAACAGGAACATTAACATAAAATATAATGTAGGTAACTGCATTATGGATTGAAAATCATACTTACAATAATTAAGAAATTAATATAACATCCAAAATTTCAAAATAATCTATTGAGATAATGTCTGAATCTATATGTTATAATTCTATAGCAAATCCTACTAAAGATAGAGATACTAATAGATGGACATAAATTGGTAATAAAACTGAATGTGCATTAATTGAATTAGCTGATAATTTTGGATATAAATATTCAAATTTCAGATAAAATGATAGAATTCTAAGATAAATTCCTTTTAGTAGTAAAAGAAAGAAGATGGTTACTGCTATTTTAAATCCAAAAAATTAATCTATAAGAATATTTAGTAAAGGTGCATCAGAAATTATTTTAGGATAGTGTTTTAGATATATTTCTAATAATGGTGCTGAATAAATTTTAGATAAAACTAAAAAAGATGATATTTTACATAATGTTATTGAAAATTTTGCATCTCGTTCTTTAAGAACAATAGCCATAGCTTATAAGGATTTAGAACCTTAAAGTTAAGCTATAAAAGGATTTGTAAATGCAAAAGCACATGTACATTAAATAAATGAAGATGAAATAGATAAAGATTTAACTTTGATTGCAATAGCAGGTATCAAAGATCCAATTAGACCTGATGTTGCAGAATCTATAAGATAATGTACAAAATCTGGAGTAACTGTTAGAATGGTTACTGGAGATAATATAATTACAGCTTAATCTATAGCATTAGAATGTGGAATATTGGAAAAAAATAGGGCATAATAAGAATTTGAAGTAATTGAAGGTAAAAGATTTCGAGAATTAGTGGGAGGATTAGTAAATGGAAAAAATGAAGAAGGAAATGAAATAAAAGTAGTTAAAAATATGTAGATATTTTCAAAAATAAGCAAAGAAATGAAAGTGATGGCTAGAGCATCACCAGAAGATAAATATTTATTGGTTACAGGTTTGATTTAAGAAGGTAATGTTGTTGCAGTTACAGGAGATGGTACAAATGATGCTCCTGCATTAAAAAAAGCAGATGTTGGATTTGCTATGGGAATTACAGGATCAGATGTAGCAAAAGATGCTGCAGATATTATTCTAATAGATGATAATTTTAGTTCTATTATTACAGGTATTAATTTATATATTCAATAGCTATGAAATGGGGTAGAAATATTTATGATTGTATAAGAAAATTCATTTAATTTTAATTGACAGTTAATTTAGTAGCATTGTTTATGTCATTTACAGGTGCTGTAATTTTAAAGTAATCTCCTCTTAATGCAATTGAGATGCTTTGGGTTAATTTAATTATGGATACTTTTGCTTCTTTAGCTTTAGCTACAGAACCTCCTTCTATTAAAGTTTTAGATAGACAACCATATAAAAGATCTGATTAAATTGTCTCACCAACAATGTATCGTACTATTGTAGGAGCAAGTTTATATTAAATTATGGTTCTTACATTTATATTATTTCTACTACCAAAATTCATTGATTGCTCTATTCCATAAGAATTGATTGGATAAAAAGTATTAATATTAATTATAATTATTAAAGTACCCTAAGAATGTAGTACAAATGAGTATCTTCTTTTAAGCATTTGTGTTAATGTAAGTATTTAATTCAATATCCTGTCGATAATTAGATTATTAAACAAGAAATCCTTTTGCTAATTTTTGTAATAATCCTTTATTTTGGATAGTTCAAACAATAACAGTAATTGTTTAGATTTTGCTTATATAATATGGAGGAAAATATGTAAAAGTTTCTCATTTGACATTATTTTAACATTTATTATGTGTTGGATTTGGAATTGGTGGAATTATATTTTCAATTCTATTTAAATTTATACCAGAATAGCTATGCTAAAAAATTCATCTCTTTAGAGAAGAGGAAATAAAAACAGAAAAGATGGATGATACTTTAACAAGTAAATTAAGAAGAAAGTCAACAATGCGTTTACATACTAGTTAAAGAAGTAAGCATGATTTAGGTAGTCTAAAGAAAATGAGCTCAGATAAATTATGAATTTTAAAATTATACAAATATTTAATCAGTAATTTCATATAAATATCATTATTCTATAAAAATTTTCATAAAAACCAATATATTATCTAGAATTATAAGAAATTTCTAATCAATACTAATTTTCTTATATGCAACTATTTGATTACATTTTATCCATAAATCCATGTCTAAACAAAATGTTTAATTTTTTCTATTAATAATTTGTCTTATATTAGAACATTCTAAATATGGTAATTTTAATATTTAACTAAAACGAAAACTATGTAAAAGTAAATTTTGATTATATTCATTAGAGAAATCGTAGAATTTACATTCAAGTACTTTTGTTACAAATATATTTGTGTAAACATTATGGTTCTCCTATTTACACTTTATTAATTTTAAGCAGCTCCTTTGGCTTTACTATTATCCTTTATGATATTGAATGAAATTGTAATCTGGATTAAATATTCAAACAGAGAGTTAGCAGACATTATTGATAGCATTCTAAACATCTTATTTTATGTAAGTTTTCTTATATTCTTTAGATTTATGTCACTCTTATGTATTATTTAGATTTACACTATTATATTTTAGGTAATATATTAATAGTGATGTCTTTTATTTTTAAAATAGCTTGTGAAAAGAAATTTGATTAGTACCATGATTATTCAACTATTATACGATTGGTATTTTTAATTTATATTTAGAGTTAAATTTTCTATAGATTTTCATTATTGATAGCAATTCTATGTATCACTTTAAAAATAAGTCGATATGTAGATTGGACATGGTCATAAACATTTTGGTGGTATTGGATGTTTATAAGTGGATTAATTGGATGTATGATAGCATTTTTTTTGATATTAATTTCTAAACTAATTAAGATTAAAAATCAAACAATAACTAACCAATCTAAAAATGAAAGTATTACCTTAAAATTCTAATTTAGTTAAAATGTTAATATGGTTGTTATATATTACAATTTTAAGCAGTCTAATAGCAGGAATTTGGATAATTAATACATTAAATGTACTAGGAATCAATTTCAATATTTAATTAGGAGATTTATATATTTACATTATCATATCTTTGAATATTCTCATTTTTTGCGGAATCTCATATTTGTTTTTCAATTCAGTGGTTGAATTTGTTTTAACAATAAATTAAATTGAATCAAGAAATTCAACTCTAAAAATAAATTCTTAAAATAAAATAAATTAAATTAAAAAGGAAGTAACTAAGACATCAATTTTCATGTAAAAATTATCAAATGCTTACTTTCGATAAATAAAGAACTTATAAGGTGTAGTGTTCAAAGATACAAATCAAAATGAAATATTAACAGAAAGAAATATGAATAACAATATTATTAAAAAAAATAAACTTAACCATCATAATTCTAATAATAAATGTATT